GGGGCGGCGATGACTCCACGCTTCTTCAGGTGGTGGATGGCCAGGGGTGCGGCGTGCACGGAGTGGACGACGGGGGCGGCGTGGACCACGGGGACGGTCCTGACGATGGGAGCAGCGTGGACGACGGGCACAGCCTTAACGACGGGTGCAGAGTGGCTCTGCACGATGCTGGAGTGGGACACGGCCACGGGGGCAGCGTGCACGGCGTGGACCACGGGCACGGAGTGCACCACGGGGGCGATCACTCCCGGCTTGGCGGCAGCCACAGCCACGATGGCGAAGAATGCGACCTGCAAGCAGGGTACAAGATGTTATAAGGAAAGGGCGCTCAGTTCACAATATTCGAATTTAACATTTGATGCAACTCAAACTAGAGTGGAGAGCGCGTTTTTTAAGGTTCTCGGGTCACTAAGACAAATTTCACTGTTCGCCGTAATGATGCATTTGTCGATGATATCCAAAGCCGCTTATTGGCTGATCACTGCACTTTTCTTTCGCACTTTACACTGTATCACTGGCGCACTTGAACACTCGCGGCACTGCTCGCACTCACCAGCTTGAACATGGTGGCTTGGGTTAGCTTCTGCTGAGCTGACTTGAGAGAGGGGAAGAGAGGATGTGATGCTGTGTCCTGGCAGACACTGGCTTTTATACGAACGGGCGGGTGCAGGCCGGCCGGCCAGACGGAGGCCGAGGACCTCTCGGCGGCCTTCAGGACGGCGCCGGAGACGCGCAGGAGGGGGGAAATGCGTAGCCAGGGGGGAGGGGACATTGCAGGCGGGCAGTGTGGACTCGGGACGGCGAGGGGTGCATTGTTTTCATGGGCGAATTAGAGGTCCAGTAAATGACTGAACGATAGCGAGCCTAATACTCCAGCACGCTAAAAACAGGTTAGCAGGATGCATGATAGGTAGTAAAATTAGCTGTAGCAACTAACTTTTTCGCCATTCTTCGTACTGACCAGCCACTACGGGCAGCCGCCTACCTTAGCCGCGAGAGCTAGAAAGTTAGCTGGTCGAGCTAATATTAATACCTATCTCGAATCCAGCTAATACATTAGCTTTCTCAGCTAATCCTTTTTTTTTTTTTTTTGCTAGAGTAACCAAAACCAAAACGTTTTCCCCCTCTTGCCTTGTTTGTTTTTACCCGCGGTACTTCAAAAAGAATTCGGAAAGATGGAAGTAAACGAACGGCATCAATATTTAGTGTTGCACGTCGTAAAAGATTTTGAGTGCGGGTGTGGTATTACCAAATATTTTTTCTAATATTTGTTACCATATCAATCGAACTGCGGCAAAGGAATTGTTTGTTCTGGAAGGAACGCAAGGATGGGTCTACTGGTCCAGGCGAGAGGTGATCTGGTGGAGCAAGGATGCTGCCTTTGCTGCAACCGGTGATCGTACGTGAGTGTCTAGCGACCAAGAACTTGGCCACCATTCCATCGTGATGTGCAGACGGTACACTTGCCCTAGAAAATCAGGTTATGGCAGCGCTGTGATTTTCTTTTTTCTGGGTGGTTTTACTCGGATTCAGCCCACTAGCACGCACCGTCAGAAACAGCTCTATTTTTGAACGTGTCGCTCAATAACATGAGTAGTTTTTATCAGATTGCACCCCTTGCGTGAAAACTTGTTGTCATGATAACTCTTGTAAACCTTGGTTTTGAAAGATAAGTAAAAAAGCATGTGCAGTGCAGTGTTAGTTCGAATCAAAAAATGATACCTCTGAATTGAGCTAACGCAACTTTTGAATCATAAAAAGACGCTTAAAATTATACTTACATAAAATAATATAGTCCCACTATTCTACCTCATAGTCAGAAGAATTTTAAGGTTTTATCAGTAAATAGGTACTAACCCTGTCAACTTCGATATTATTACAAATATTTGAAGTGTTCAGCTGTCAAGGAAGCAACTGTAAGTGCAAAAGTGATCGTCGAGGAAGTACGTTTTAGATTTATTCTGCGAATTGGGACAATGGTGCCTGCGAGAAGGGTAGGCTAATCCGCAGCAGACGCATGCACTGCAAGGCAAGATGTTGCCTATACATCAGGCGCTAAGAGAGCTTTGAGAGCGAACTGGGTAGTTTCGTAAGGATGGTTTAGGGACGCACTTTCTAGGCGATCCCCAACCCTGGGGCGGGTACTAGCAGGTGTTCACCTAGAAATTTGAGTGCTTACGTAATTATTCGACACGGTGTTAAACACTCGTAAGGGCACACCAGGTATGGAACAATATGTACAAAACAAACTCCTAGAGACACTACGGAAAACCACTGTGGTTTTCCTGTAGTTGTCCGTAGTGCCCACGGAACAACCCGGAGGTTTCCGGACTGTGTCCACATGTCTGCCCCGTGGCTGGAGGGTGTCTGGGCGCCGCTCCTGATGGCCCTGATGCTCCCCGAACCCACCGCGACGCCCCGCGCGTTTTACACTGGAAACTCAAGTGTGTGAATGTCACACACTTGCAGGTGTGTGAACACCCAAAAATTCCCACGTTTATCCCTCTAAGAGTACGAATAAACATTCACACACCTGCAAGTGTGCGACATTCACACACTTGCGTTTCCAGTGTACTTATCATGCTCTGCAAATTACGCTCCGTAGAACTAGATGTCAGTTTTAACTGCGAGACTTAATCTGCCAGCTCAAACTGTGAGACTGCCTCGAAGATATCGCAGTTTAAAGTGACATACTGATCAGTCTCGCAGTTTAAACTGGCAGACTGGACAGTCTCTCATTTCAAACTTACATCTTGTTCTACAGTTCGATTATGCAGAGTTGGCAAAAGGGTGCAGTACTACAGAAAATAATACAGGGAATGTCCGAGGTTTTTCAAAGTCAATCACAGAAAAGGCACGGACCGTCCAGGTTATTATTTATTCGGACTTTTTCTGTACACACTAAATTGTTGTGAACTTTTTTGATACTCAGCGTAATCTTCACATGCACTGCAAAATGCTTGCAAAGAATAGGTTTCGCAGGAAGAGCAGAAAAACACTTGAGATATCAGTAGTGCCAAGCGGAAAAATAGGAGTCCAATGATGTATACTCTAGGATTGAAGTTCATGACCGAAGTTCACGCACATTTTTATTTGATGCTCGTGAACTTCAATCGGAGTTCGTACAAGTTTGGCCAAATTTCAATGTAATTTGACTCTCTTAGTGCCTTACTGCGGTCAGTGGGGCACCGAGCCACTGATATGATGTTCATTTTTACGGGCATGTGCTGTGAGTTTGATGGCCTTTACAGCCTGTTCGATGGTCTCGACTACATCTCGCGGAACGCGTCAGCCTTCAAAGCCAGTGGCGACAGAGGTGTCCGTATTATCTCTTTCCGTCGCGCGTATAGGCCATTCGCTCTGAGCTAATTCGACCATCTTGGCAGCGTGTCAACTGGCGATGTGATGTCTCGTTTCTTTTTTGTTTTGTTTTTTATTCTCTACACCAAAGGAAGTGGGGTGGCTGGGCATCTTATAGTCGTCTTCCGACTTCCGAACGCTATGAGACTAGCGATTTAAGATCTGGAATTTGGTATAAATCCCAAATGAGCTCGTCCTTGTCCCTGCCACGAATTCACGTATTTAAATTCAGTCGTGCAGCGTCTTGATCAAGAAGATCTTCAAATATTTGTATTTCAGTCTTGAGCCTTGTGAAAAGATTTGCCCCTTTTAACGCATGTTATTTATCTCGTTGTTTATTCATTTTTCAAATTATTGCCTGCCGTAGCGGTCCAAGTATATAGTCAGTCGGCGCCAGAGTTGCACAGGCTCTGCCTCGGCCGGGCTGCACTCGATGTCGTGTCGCTCATCTTTCTCTCTCGACGCGCCGTGCAGATCACTTTCTTTCTTATTACCGTGTGGAGAGACGCCTGGCCGGAGCGACCGGTACGGCCCGTCTCGTCCCGCCGAGCTACCCCCCCCCCCC